CTGAGATTGCGCCACTGCACTCCAGCCTGGGCAACAGAGCAAGACTCCATCTCAAAAAAAAAAAAGAAAGAAACAGGGTCTCACTCAGTCGGTCTCACTCAGTTGCCCACGCTGTAGTTCAGTGCTTTGCAATCATAGTTCACTGATGCCTCAATCCCCCTGGGCTCAAGCACTTCTCCCACCCCAGCCTCCCAAGTAGCTGGGATTACAGGCACGTGCCACCACAGCCAGCTAATTTTTAAATGTCTTTGGAGAGATGAGGTCTAGCTACGTTGACGAGGCCAGTCTGAACTCCTGGGCTCAAGCGACCCTCTTGCCTCTGCCTCCTAAAGTGCTGGATTATAGGCATGAGCCATCATGCCCAGTCTGAATTTATTTTTTTGACGTGTATCTCTATGTGTTGTGTGTCTGTGTACATGTGGGCAGTGTATATATGTGCATTTGTATGTGTGTGTTTTGCACATTATGTGTCTGTCTGTGAGTGTCTGCGGCTGCCTTCCTGTTCCTCTTTCTGTCATGCATTGTTCCTCCATGCTGAGAGGTAAAGGGAACCTGCAAGCTTTTCTTGCAGGACAATTCTCTCCTCCTCTCTGGCTTCAGTTTCTCTCCTATATAGATGGGAGACTTGAACTCCATGATTTTGAAGGACCTGTGCAGATCTGACCATTCTTTTTCTTTTTTTTGAGATGGAGTTTCGCTCTTGTTACCCAGGCTGGAGTGCAATGGTGCGATCTCGGCTCACTACAACCTCCGCCTCCTGGGTTCAGGCAATTCTCCTGCCTCAGCCTCCTGAGTAGCTGGGATTACAGACATGTGCCACCATGCCCAGCTAATTTTTTTTATTTTTAGTAGAGATGGGGTTTTACCATGTTGACCAGGATAGGATGGTCTCAATCTCTTGACCTCGTGATCCACCGGCCTCAGCCTCCCAAAGTGCTGGGATTACAGGCATGAGCCACTGCGCCCGGCCTAGATCTGACCATTCTTAACTTCATCAATCACCATACATTTTAGGACTTCTTCCAAAAAAGATCTAAAGAATAGTCAACAGCTTAAAGCTGCAGTGGCAGGGATTGAAGTTAGAAGGACAAAGGCCCCAGACTGGCCTACACCGGCCTCAGGAGAGCCATGGAGCTCCTGGTTTGGAGCAAAAGCTGTCAGAATTGAAAGTCAGGCCCAAGGCCCCAGCTAGTGTTCTCCAACCCCTGTACTGGCCAGAGAGTTTCCATGTGACTTGCAGAGAGGGAGAGGGATTCACATTCCAACTCCCTGTGGGCTGCTGGGTAGGCAGAGGAATGGAAGAACAACTATCCAGGAAGACAGCCCTGGGTGGGAAGTGAAGTGTCCTCAGCCCTGCTTTGGCCCCTGCTGGCTCCTGATAAGCAGGAGGCTGCTGGGCCCCCACCCTGATAGCTCAGTGTCTGCTTATCAGGGTCCTTCACTATCCCACCCAGGCCCAGACTCTCCTCCAACCCACACCCTGCTCACAGAAATCCCCACCCCTGGCCAGGGACCACAGCCACAGGACCTCTGGCTGGCTGAGATAATCTCTCTCCTCTCCCTTCAGGACCCCTAGGTTCTGCCTATGCTCATTTTGGACTCAGCCCCCAGGGACTAGGCAGAAGCCTAGGGAGTAAGTGGCATGAATTGTGCCCTAGTGCATGAAGCCCCTCACTCTGTTGAAGGAGCTTGAGCTGTCTGTGGGGTCTCTGAGTGGAGGTGGCCTGGCAGAAGGGACACAGGACAGGAAAGGGGGTCAGGGGAAGCAGGAGCAGACATAATGACAATGCCTCACCTGGTTAAGGCAGCTGGGTTTCTGAAGCTTTCTCACTCTTGAGTGTGTGTCTGTCTGTGTGTGTATGTGTGTGTGTGTATGTGTGTGTGTGTGAGAAAGAGAGAGAGAGCGAGAGAGAGAGAGAGAGAGACAGAGGAGTCTCACTTTGTTGCCCAGGCTAGAGGGTAGTGGTGCAGTCTAGGCTCATGGCAACCTCCACCTCCTGGGTTCAAGCAATTCTTGTGCCTCAGCCTCCCAAGTAGTTGGGATTACTGGTGCACGCCACCATGCCCATCTAATTTTTGGATTTTTAGTAAAGACGGGATTTCACCATGTTGGCCAGGCTGGTCTCGAATTCCTGACCTCGGATGATCCACCTGCCTCAGCCTCCCAAAGTGCTAGGATTACAGGTGTGAGCCACTGTGCCTGGCCCTCACTCATCTTTTCTTTCTTTCCCTCCCTTCCATACTTCCTTTCTTCCTTTTCTCTCTTTCTTTCTTTTTTTTGAGATACTCTCCCTCTATAACCCAGGCTGAAGTGCAGTGGTGAAAATATGGCTCATCACAGCCTCGACCTCCCAGGCTAAAGTGATCCTCTCACCACAGCCCACCAAGTAGCTGGGATTACAGGCACATGCCAACACACCTGGCTAATTTTTTTTTTTTTTTTTTTTTGTACTTTTAGGAAAGACAGGGTCTCACTATGTTACCTAGGCTGGTCTTTTTTTTTTTTTTTTTTTGAGACGGAGTTTCGCTCTTGTTACCCAGGCTGGAATGCAATGGCGTGATCTTGGCTCACCGCAACCTCCGCCTCCTGGGTTCAGGCAATTCTCCTACCTCAGCCTCCTGAGTAGCTGGGATTACAGGCTGCGCCACCGTGCCCAGCTAAGTTTTGTATTTTTAGTAGAGATGGGTTTCACCATGTTGACCAGGATGGTCTCAATTTCTTGACCTAGTGATCCACCCGCCTCAGCCACCCAAAGTGCTAGGATTATAGGCGTGAGCCACTGCGCCCGGCCTTCCAGACTGGTCTTGAACTCCTATGCTCAAGTGATCTGCCCCCTAAAGTGCTGGGATTATAGTCATGAGCCACTGTGCCTGGCCTCTCACTCGTATTTCTGACTGACTCTTCCAACTTGGCAAGGTGTGTATAAACACCAAAGCTCAGAGAAGCGCAATTTGTCCCCAGTCACACAGTTCGTGAGACAGAGGAAAAAAGGAAACTGACATTTGTTTCATGTGTGCTAGGCCCTGATCTGGGAGCTTGAGATGAGTGCTCATATAACCGTCCTCATCACTGTGTAAGGTAGGTATTGATAGCTGCCATTTTTATTTTGAGGAAACGGAGGCTGGGAGCATTTGGTCCAAAGTCACAGAGCTGGATGCAGCAGAGCTGAGACTGTCACTTAGGACCTGTCACCTCTAGACCTGGGTTTTCGCAGTGGTCCTAGGCTGCTTTCAAGAATATTCCATGGGCTTTCAGATGTTCAAGGACAGGCCTTGTGGGGCTCCCTGTGGGAATGGGGTGAGGTGGGAATTAACTTGTTTGAACCCCTTCTGATGACTGGCACCAGTGCAATGTAAGTCCTCACCAGCAGCTGATCCCCTAGATCTGGCAACTCTGTGAACAGGGGACTGCCGTTATTCCTATTCACCAATAAGAATAGGGAGGGTCCCAGAGAGAAAAATGGCTTGCCCGAGAGAGCCACAGCTTTGCCGTCTGCCTCCTCAGGCCAAGGTCTCTCTCCTCCCCCACATTACATTGGGCTCAGCTTGATGTAGGCTGGAACATTTATTTAGTTGCTGATTATGTGATAGAAGTACATCAGTCAAGAAACAGGACCCTCATTGTTACTTACTTAACGTGAATATCATACAAATAAATAAGCCCCTATCAGGGGGACTTAAATAGTCTGGGAAGACTTTCCTGCAGAAGTAACACTTAGAGACGTGAAGAGGGAGGCTGGCCGGGTGGTTCATGCCTGTAATCCCAGCACTGAGAGGCTGATGCAGGTGGATCTCCTGAGCCCAGGAGTTTGAGAGCAGCCTAGGCAACATAGCAAAACCCCGTCTCCACTAAAAATACAAAAATTAGCCAGGTATGGTGGCACATGCCTGTAGTCCCAGCTATTTTGGAGGTTTGAGGTGAGAGGATCACCTGAGCCCAGGAGGTCAAGGCTGCAGTGAGCCGTGATCACGCCACCACACTCCAGCCTGGGTGACAGAGTGAAATTTGTTTCAAAGAAAGGAAGGGATAAAAAAAAAGAGATCTGAAGAGGGGCCAGGAGCTAACTAGACAAGAAAGGAGGGAAGACCATGCAAAGCAGAGGGTAGAATATGTGCCAACATGCCATGGCCACAGGAAATAGAACACCTCCATAGAACCCAGAAAAGGTTGGGTCTCTTCCCACTTCCATCCTGGTTTAGTCTGCCCCTGCAGGAGGGGTATAACTGCCTCCCAGCACACAGACCAGACTGTCTGGGGTAGGGAAGAGGGAAGGGATTGTTCCCCAGAATGGGGATTCTAAACAGTGGAGGCCCTGCTTTGAAGAGCCTCTCCCCTACCCCAGAGGCAAAGAATCAAACAGTGCTAGGCTCTCACTGGAAGTGCCTTGAGCATTGAAGAACAGGTCCACAAGAGCTGGGGATTCAGCTGCTCTCAAATCTCCTAGTAGAGCACCCCTGACCCAGAGGACCTTGCAAGGGCAGTGGTAGGCAAGGAGTCTCTCTGCCTCTCTAGGTCTGGCCTCCTTGGGCTCATGATAAACATAGGGACAGGGCCTGGGAACAGAAATTTAGGCTGGGGGTAGTGTGAGCTCACCCACCAGACAGATCCAGCTGCCAGGACCCTTCCTGTCCTATATAGAGATTCAACTAACATTGCCCACCATCACTGCAAAACAAAAACAAAAAAAGCAAAAACTAAAAACTTTCCACCAGGGATCTGGCCAGCAATTAAGCCCTGATGAATGGGATGAGGCAGTTCTTTCTCCTTCCCTTCCCAGCCCAGCCGAGATAATCAGCTTCTTGGGGATGGGAGTGAAGGGTGAATCTCAGGCTTAATGTGGTCCACTAGAGGGTATGTGAAAAAAGTCCTATTAGGGAGAGAGGCCAGTGACCCTTCTTTCATGGATTCTAGCAGGGCAAGGGTTAAGAGGCAGGGCCAGGAAAAGTGCCCCACCCAGGGGAGGGACTGGTATGTTAAAAGGCAAGCAGCTTGAGGAAGAGGAAGGGACAGATCCTCCCTGCATCCAAAGGCCTCCTCAGTCTGCAGCTCCAGCTCCAGCTCCAGGTAAGTGCACCTTCTCTGGGTCTGCCTGCCTATCTGCTCGTTGGACTGAACAGAGGGAACCTTCTGCATCATTATGCCATCTCTGGCTGGTTTAACACTGGCCCTGGGTCCCCAAGAGATCTCAACTGACCCTAGCTCCAGTCCCCTTCCCATAACCCACCTGGGCTGTGCTTGATCACAGAATCAAGGAGACACTGGCCTGGGAAGGGAGCTGTAGAGCAGGGACTGTGGAGCTGTGTGTGTTCAGCCCTGACCTGTCCTGTCCTGCCCCCAGCCCACAGTGTTTTCCAAGCCATGCTTCCTGTGACCTCGATGGGGCCCTGGCTGGGATATCATCATATACTGTAAGTTTGCGATGAGACACTACAGTATAGATGATGTACTAGTCTGGGCACCCCCAGCTCTGGGGCCTGACAAGGAGGGCAGGAGAGATGCTGCGAGTCCAGGAAGCTCTCTGCTCAGCCTATCACAGCCTGCCGACTGCCAGGGCACTTGGGAATGGCAAGGAAACCGTTACCATTACTGAGTTTAGTAATGGTAACGGTTCTCTTGCTGTACCCAGAAAACGTGCGAGAAGAGAACTCAGGACCCTGGAGCAGACTACTAGGAGACTCCAGCTAAAATAAGGCAGGGGTGGGGGCGTGGGATGGGGGGTGGATGGAGGGAATACATAAATTTTCTCTTTCCTGTTGTAAAGAAATAAAGCTAAGGCCAGGCACGGTGGCTCACGCCTGTAATCCCACCACTTTCAGAGGCCAAGACAGGAGGATTTCTGGAGCCCAGGAGTTTGAGACCAGCCTAGGAAACATAGTGAGACTCAGTCTCTACTATTAAAAAATAAAAATAAAGAAATAAAATAAAAGGAATAAAGATGAGAACCAGAATGCTTGTCTTTTAACTTTATTAGTATCCAAGATGTGGGGAGAGGGATGGGGTGGGAGAGATCAAGAACTGGGGAGCAGATAGGAGGCGCTACCTCACTCAGGAGACTCCAGTCCATACGCAAGTTTAAGGTGAAAGAAACAGGGGTGGAGAAAGATCTCCCTGCTCACAACAATGGCTCAGGGAGAAACTCTGGACCCAAAGCCAGCTGGAGGCAGGGTGACATTGCTCCCACCAATAGGCCATCTTCTGTAGCTGTGGCCCCAGGCAGAGGAACCACCTGGGAACTGAGCTAAGGCAGGTTCCTTCTTCCAGCAGGAAATACAGCTGGGCAGGGACTGTGCAGACTCAGTAGGGCCACTCCACTAGTAGCCAGTCAATGTTCATGTCCCTCACTAGTTCCTGGAAGGTCCCCTGCAAAGGACTGATCTGGTTAGTTCCTGCCAGCAGCTTGAGCTGGGATGCCCTGGGAGGGTCAGTAGAAAGTAGTTAGTTGAGGAGCTTCACAGAGAGGCGGATGTCAACATCACAGAGAAAGATGTTCATGAGGTCGCGGCTTGCCTCCTGTGCAATCTGGGAGATCATGTGGCCCTTTGGACCAATCAGGAGCCTCTGAGGGTATGTGAAAGAGAAGGAAACCAGGAATGATGGCACATGCCTGTAGACCCAGCCATTCAGGGGGCTCAGGTGGGAGGATCCTTTGAGGCCAGGAGTTTGAGTCCAGCCTTGGTAACAGTGTGACCCCTCTTTAAAAAAAAGAGAGGGTGGCTGGGCACCGTGGCTCATGCCTGTAATCCCGGCACTGTTTTTTTTTTTAAGAGATGGGGTTTCACCATGTTGGCCAGGATGGTCTCAATCTCTTGACCTCGTGATCTGCCTGCCTCGGCCTCCCAAAGTGCTGGGATTACAGGTGTGAGCCACTGCACCCAGCCAATCCCAGCACTTTGGGAGGCCGAGGCGGGCGGATCACTTGAGGTCAGAAGTTAGAGACCAGCCTGACCAACATGGTGAAACCCCATCTCTACTAAAAATACAAAATATTAGCTGGACATGGTGGCAGGTGCCTGTAATCTCAGCTACTTGGAAGGCTGAGGCAAGAGAATTGATTGAACCCGGGAGGCAGAGAGGTTGCAGTGAGCTGAGATCACGCCACTGTACTCCAGCGTGGGTGACAGAGTGAGACTCTGTCACAAAAACAATTTTAAAAAAGAGGCCAGGCATGATGGCTCAGGCCTGTAATCCCAGCACTTTGGGAGGCCAGGGAGGGCAGATCACAAGCTCAGGAGTTCAAGATCAGCATGGCCAACACAGTAAAACCCCATCTCTACTAAAAAATACAGAAAAATTAGCCAGGCACAGTGGCACATGCCTGTAGTCCCAGCTATTCGGGAAGCTGAGGCAGGAGAACTGCTTGAACCCAGGAGGTGGAGGTTGCAGTGAGCCGAGATCATGCCACTGTACTCTAGCTTGGGCAACAGCTTCATTTCAAAACAAATAAATAAATTAATTTAATTTAATTAAAAAAGAGCGGGTGGGTGCAGTGGCTTATGCTTGTAATCCCAGCACTTTTAGAGGCCAAGGTAAGTGGATTGCTTAAGCCCAGAAGTTTGAGACCAGCCCGGGAAAGATGGTAAAACCCCTTCTCTACAAAAACTTTTAAAAAATTAGCCAGATGGTTAAGCGTGGAGGCTCACACCCGTAATCTCAGCACTTTAGGAGGCCGAGGTGGGTGGGTCATTTGAGGTCAAGAGTTCAAAACCGGCCAGGCGCAGTGGCTCACACCTGTAATCCCAGCACTTTGGGAGGCCACGAGGTCAAGAGATCGAGACCATCCTGGTCAACATGGTGAAACCCTGTCTCTACTAAAGATACAAAAAATTAGCTGGGCATGGTGGCGCGTGCCTGTAATCCCAGCTACTCAGGATGCTGAAGCAGGAGAATTGCCTGAACCCAGGAGGCGGAGGTTGCGGTGAGCCGAGATCACGCCATTGCATTCCAGCCTGGGTAACAAGAGCGAAACTCCATCTCAAAAAAAACCAAAAAACAAAAAAAAGAGTTCAAAACCAGCCTGGCCAACATGGTGAAAGCCTCCTTCAACTAAAAATTAGCCATTCGTAGTGGTGGGCACTTTTAATCCAAGCTTCTCAGGAGGCTGAGGCAGGAGAATCACTTGAGCCCGGGAGGCGGAGGTTGCAGAGAGCAGAGAGCATACCACTGGACTCTAGCCTGGGTGACAGAACGAGACTTTGCCTTTAAATAAATAAATAAATAAATAAATAAACAAACAAACAAATTAGCTGGTCCTGGGCTGGGCGCAGTGGCTCATGCCAATAATCCCAGCAGTTTGGGAGGCCGAGGTGGGCAGATCACCTGAGGTCAGAAGTTCGAGACCAGCCTGACCAACATGGTGAAACCTCATTTCTACTAAAAATACAAAATTAGCCAGATGTGGTGACGCATGCCTGTAATCCCAGCTACTGGGGAGGCTAAGGCAGGAGAATCATTTGAACTCGGGAGGTGGAGGTTGTGGTGAGCCGAGATCACGCCATTGCAGTCCAGCCTCAGCACTCCATCTCAAAAAAAAAAAAAAAAAAATAGCTGCTCCCAGCTCCTCAGGCGGCTGAGGTGGGAGGATTGCTTGATTCTGGGAAGTCAAGGCTGCAGTGAGCTGTGATTGTACCACTGCACTCCAGCCTAGGTGACAGAGCAAGACTCTGTCTCAAAAAAAAAGAAAAGAAAAAGGAAAAAAGAGAGAAGGACATGGCCCTGCTCTCAGGGCTCACAAGTTGGGGGAAGAACTCCTGTCTAACACAGCCTTGATCTCTCCTCTGAGCCTAGTCTCACTTACCATATAAGATTCTTTGGGCACCAGAAGCTTCTGTTGGATAACCAGCTCCCCGCTTGGTCCTTCCTCCCATACTACTGTCTTCTATACAGGAAGACAACGTGATTAGTCAGTCATACCCCTGGGTATAGGTGTGTACCTGGTAGAGAGATCCCAGAACCCTTTACTCTGTACCTGCTGCACATTGTAAGGCACCTCCTGGGGCAGGTACTCTAGAAGCTTCTCTCGGATGATGTTGGCACAGATCTCTTCTGGTGTCTGGTTAGTAAGGACTTCACTGTGATATTCCCAGGGCCCTGGCTGGGCCTGTGCTAGGAGGTATTTCTGTGGGAACAGAGGGACTAGATGGGCTTCTTAGTCCCAGTGAGGACTTTTCTACTCACTTTTGCTTCCAGGAGGAAATCTGAGAGCTGTCTTCATATGGTAGAAACGAAGGGCCAGGCTACAGCCAAAACTAACTGACCTTTAGTGTTTGCACATCCTCCTGGCTTAGGGCTGACAACATGAAGATCTCCTGGAAGTGGGGCCAGCCAATCCTCTGAGGGCTTCCCACAGACTGTGTGTTTGAATCCTTAACTGCTGGGCTGGGGCAATGGGTACCAGGGTGTGAGTGGAAGGCCTGCCTCATCTTGAGCTTTTTGCCATTGACCACACCTTCAGTGAGGGCTGCTGTGAGCTCCAGGAGAACTGACTTCTGCTTCAGACAATCTACCTGGACATGGGGGACAGGCAAGGGTGTGTAGTCAGAGATAGGGGACTTGGAGGGAAACAGACCTCCTCCTCAGGTGGGTAGTGCTCACCTTGTTCATGACCAGGATACTAGGAACCTGGGAGAACTTGGTCAAACACCTGAGCAATTGGGGGTTGAGCTGGTTCCGAGTCCACTTGTCTGAGACATCCACAAGAACCACAACTGGAAGATGGCAAGGCAGGAAAAAGGATGAGGAAATGGTCGCTCTTTCTCCCACCCTGACAAAAACTTCCATGGTATGAGCTCTTGCTTTTGCCCCCCAAACTACCAGGAATGAAAGGCCATAAACCCTGTAAACTGGGCTTAAGATTCCCATCCTGAACCTAACCAAGATCAGCAGATTCCATGCTCTTCCATGGATCTTCCAACAAAGAAAGCTCCAGATGGTGCCTGGGGAACAGACAAACATCAGTCAAGAAGAGTCTTGTGACTTAGGCATTTCTGACAAGGGATGTGGGATGGTAAAGGAGTTTTCCAGCCCGTACGATGGAATTTCCCCACCTTCTTTCAGTACCTCCCCTCCATCCACCCTCTGATTCCACAGCCATTACCTCTTCTGTTTAACAGGATTGATAATGCCAGGTGTGTCAAGTAGAATCTAAAATCAGGAAAGTGAGATACCCAGACCCCAGGAGAAAAGATTATGACTGGGAAGTGACAGAGGCCACCCATGATGTCAGGAGCCTGCCCTCCTTCCCTTCTCAGCCAAGCTGTTACTGACTAGGTTTATTTATTTATTTAGACAGAGTCTCACTCTGCCACCAGGCTGGAGTGCAGTGGCACAATCTTGGCTCACTGCAACCCCCACCTCTTGGGTTCAAGTGATTCTTCTGCCTCAGCCTCCTGAGTAGCTGGGATTATAGGCACCAGCCATCAGTCCCAGCTAATTTTTCTATTTTTAGTTGGCCAGGCTGGTCTCAATCTCCTGACCTCGTGATCCACCTGCCTGGGCCTCCCAAAGGGCTGGGATTACAGGAGTGAGCCACTGTACCTGGCCAGTTTTTTTTTTTTTTTTGAAACAGTCTCACTCTGTGGTCCAGGCTGGAATGCAGTGGTACCATCTTGGCTCACTGCAACCTCTGCCTCCCGCATTCAAGCAATTCTCCTGCCTCAACCTCCCAAGTAGCTGGGATTACAGGTATGTGTCACCACACCTGGCTAATTTTTGTATTTTTTTAGTAGAAACAGGGTTTTGAGGCTGGGCGCGGTGGCTCACACCTGTAATCCCAGCACTTTGGGAGGCCGAGGTGGGTGGAACACGAGGTCAAGAGATTGAGACCACCCTGGTCAACATGGTGAAACCCCGTCTCTACTCAAAATACAAAAAATTAGCTGGGCATGGTGGCGCGTGCCTGTAATCCCAGCTACTCAGGAGGCTGAGGCAGGAGAATTGCCTGAAC